GGGGGGCAGGTCGGGCGCCGAGCTGGCCAGGCGCGGCGCGGCGGGCCCGGCGCGCCCGCGCAGCGGCAGCGGCAGGTGCCCGCGCGAGCGCCCGTGCACCGACGACGGGCCCCACGTCTTGCCCTTCACGCCGTCCGCCGGCACTGCGGACGCGCACTGACGTTACGGCGGGGACGATTTTCGCGATTTCAGGAAGTAACACTAAATGTCTAAACCCTTAATCATTCATAAATTAGTAGCAGTAGAGCTCCTCGTGAACGAGTTGAAATTACAGGCACAGGGGACTTGTCAACTTACGTCTCAGGGTGACGGGCGCCGAGGGAGTGCCTCTCAGGTCTTGCAGGCACTGCAACTGGTATGGACAGGTGTGTCGCTTTCCACCAGGCGCACTGTCCCTCCAGTCACTTAGTATAAAAAAAATCTATTTTTGTCCAAGACGCGAGTGAACTAACAGCATGATTTTTTTTATTGTAGCTCTATGTCCTTCAAAGACGGACCGATTAACTGGTCTTACACTAAAAAATTCCCTGTACCAGGAGCAATTAAATTCACTTCAGGATCGAAACACCCATACTAAAACCAATTTAGGCCAAAGTCATTTCCCAAATTGGTCCTCTCAGGAATCGAACCTGGGACATCTTCTGTCAGCACCCACGGTCCAAACCGTTTGGACCACTGAGGTAGTTAAACCACAGAGGTACCTACCTATCGTTGAAACTGTCGATAAAAACTACAAGACTTGAAAATTTTACATAAAATGGCAACCCTGCAAACGTCATTTTACTTTAAAAAAGGAATAGTCTACCTTAACGTCTGTGCGTACCTAACCGTAACCTACCTGGGCGTCTACTCGGTTCTCGGTTCGGTCCAACATCCGACACAATTACTGTCAAATATGTATTCCTCGAGCAAATCAAAAAACAATGTCGAATAAATAATATAATGTTTTAAACAGGGGGCCAGTCGCGCTAATTGTCAACGGTAAAACCAAAACTAAACTAAAAACGAAACGTTACCAATGTAACACGTTGCGCACATTTGCCATGGCGCTACAGGACGTGAACGGGGATCCTGGTCAGCAGTAGTGACCGTAGCATTCAGTAGCGAGGCGTGAAAATTATCTTTGGTAAATCCGGAGCAAAAAAAAACTTGCCATAACAAACTTATTAGCACAGAAGATACTAGTACCCTTTATTTAACAGGTTAATTATTCTACACGTAAAATTAAGCACAAAATGTAGTAAATTACTTTAAAATATTTACGATATTTGATGATAAGTGGAAAATTTTAGGCAAGCTGGTGGGAATCGAGTTATATGGACGCCTCGCCACTTTGAACCGTTCAATCTAAATTTATTTCAGTCTAAATCTAGCTAGACATGAAGTAAGAACTTACGAGCAATAGCCCTCATGATGGCGGGCGATCCAGGTGGCGTATCCTTCGCGACGGCGACGAGCTGTTTTACCGATGACTCGACCGAGTCCTCAGAAGGTCTCACGGTCAAAGTGTGTCGAAAGTCAAGAGGAGGTGAGATCGCGTCTTTTAGGAGCTTGATTTTGCTGAATTTGCCTGTTGGAACAATAAATATAATAAAAAACAATAAAGATATAGAATATTTATATATATATAACATATACATATAACAATAAGGCTGTATAAGAATATGTGTGATAATTTGATAAGCCAACCCGTGACAATACATAATTCAGTTGATAAATCTAGGTTTACTTAATTGGTAATGAACTATTGTTATATATTTTGAAGAACAAGGACAATGATATTAAATTGCTTATATAGTTATCTTTGTCATTTAATCATCACCGCGAAAACCATGAAACAAAAATTGTTTTTTCATATCGTTTGTCACGCTTAATTTTTACATTGATAAAATTGCTGTGCAAAAGTTTTAAAATCAGCTGTGACCTTGCAGCCATGTTTGGCACTGTGTTAATCTTTTGCAATCATTGGTCGCGGGCGCTCGCGATGACTTAAAAATGTGATAACACGGTGCTCTCGCCATGTTCGCTATTGTGATAAAATTTTCAAATTTTTTTTTTGCCGGTTTATCATTCGAATTTGACAGCTACGTGTGGATATAATAGCTGTATCGAGGTGGTATACTATGGGTGCTGGAGTTTTTAAATTAAAATATACTTTTCTATTGTCAAACAAGCGAATTCTATTCTTAATAAGAACCCAATTTGACATCAACATTTTTTAAATTGCTTTGCACTTATCCAGATCTACCTTTAATATAAATAAATAATAACATTAAATTTTAATACTTTTGCGAAAAAATAGTGCGACGTTGGTGGTACATGCGTAAGCGTGCTAGATGCGTATACTAAAGACGTAACACAGATGCGTGATGGTCAAGTGTGGTCCAACGGCCTTACCAATAAAATATTTACTTAAATGGGTTGTGTATTCGCACACTTATTTCTAGATAATAAGGTGGTATTTACCCTTTCGTTTGTTGGGCTGCGGCGGCTGCGTGTGCGACATGTTGGACGCGACGATGAGTATGTGCAACTCCCGCGCGGCCAAGTCGATTTCCCTCATCTCGAGCTCGCGCTCCTTCTGCATGAGGGTCTGCTCGTCTCGCTGTTGTTTAAGTTGCGCACGCGTCAGCTCCTCTTCGCGATAACGTAGCTCCTACAAGGATATACACGTTAATCGTAATGGACACATTTTTCATTATTTGTTAATAAATTAAAAATAAACTTTTTTTTTTTAAATAAACAACAAAGTTTTTTCCTTAACACAAGGAAAAAACTTTGTTGATCAATAAAACATAAATATTTTTTAAATGACTTCAAAAAAGGAGGAGGTTCTCAATTCTGTATTGATTTTGTATTGATAATCTAACTAAATACTTTACTATTTATGTATATTTTTTGTATTCAAATAATATTATTATGTTGAAATTATAAGGGAGGTAAAATAATAGTGATAAAGAATGCCAACAGTGGAAAGATTTCACTAACCTCTTCCATAGTTTTACACTCCTGTTAAGTAAGCATTACAAAGAAAAAACTCTTAATTAGTAACTAAATTTCTAGCCTACAAAAATGTTTGGAATAGTCCATTTTTTTGCCATTCAAGTGGTACCCATACTATAAAGGTCCCTTTTGACAAGTAACAAGAACCCCTTAAAAACCATTCCCCGTCTTCACAGAAACGCTGTAATTACGACTATACTCTGTCCAACCATTTATTTAACTTCTGACATGTGAATGCCTCTGAAGTTCCGTAATTATTGACATACAACCATAGACAAAAAAATGCAATACTTCCTGGACTTTTTTTTTTTATTTTAGTGAAGCGACGTGCTCTTTAGCTCCGATAATAAAATAGATTATTATAAAAAATCGAATCGGAAACACATTAGAACATCACTAATTGATTAGAATTCGAGCTGTCAAAAGTTAAATAAATGGTTGGGATTCGCTCTGGACCTTTTGGAGGGAAAAGTGTCGTATTTATTTTGACTTTCAATTATTTTGTGAAATCTAGTTTAAAATGGAATAGGACAGGGCTATTGTGCCTTAATCGAAGATTAAAACGCGAAATTATACGAATCTCGAACTAAAATACCCGCATCGGCCCGTTCTGAGGAATCCCGAGTCAATCCAAGCACGCCGCCTCAAATTGCCTATCCTCTTTGTGGCGGCCATATTTACAGAAACATAATTCAACTTCATGTACCAAAAAAGAATAATGTACCAAGACTTGGCTGTATGGTGTAAAACCTTTGCCTTTTCCTTTATGGAAAGAAGAAAAAAAGAAAATGGTTGGACAGAGTATAATTGAAGCTATCAGCGCCAAAGGAGTGTAACCAAAATAATTTTTTTTTTATTGATAGCCTCAATTAATGTGACAGTAAATAACACTATTACTATTAGAGTACCATTTATTAAGAGGCATTTTTTTAGGCAAACGCGTCCCATCGTCGCTTACCATCAAGTGAAATTGTGGCCAAGCGTGTGTCTATTATATATTTAAAAAAAAACCAGAGCAGCAGAACCCACCACCATAACAGAAGAAACCACTAATACACACAGACAAGAACAAATTTAAAAAGTCTATTTCCCAAACTGACTCTCCTCATCCAATGCTCACAATGTATAAACAGTTGGCCCGCTGAGGTAGTTGAATAATTTGATTAGTATTTAACGTCATAGATTGTGACGGCTGAAGTTACCTTTTCTTTACGTCTGAGATCTCTGAGAACCTCTTCGATCTCCAAACGCCATCCGTCCTGCATAGTGTGGAATGACTCGTGCGGCGCGCGAGTGAACTCTGACAAGCGGATGCGCTCGAGCTGCTCCAGGATCTCGGGGAACAGAGGCCGTTCGTGAGGATTTGAACGCCAGCACGCTGTGGAAAAGCAGGGTAAATAAGCTTCATGTTGGTTAATCGACTAGATAATATAAGATTGTTATGTCTAGGTCAGGCACTGAAATTTGACAGCTAGCTAATGCCTTTTGTTTATTAGGTTACTTGTGCAAATTATAAATATAAATTAAGAGAAAGGAACTAAAAAGAATGGTTTGGTATTAGATTACTAAAATGTCACGGAGAGTGTTAATCTGCAATCCCGAAATTATTGTATTGTATTTGGCTCCATATTCTTGATGCGCAACTAGCAATTGCTATGGCAGTGTATTTAAAATAAATTTTATCTACACACATATCATAAACTCTCTATAATTGTTCAAAAACCGCAAATTACGAACAATCTAAAGGTAAACTGTTTTGTTAGAACAAATTTCTTATCTGTCAAAATGTTATTATTACATTCAAATTTCGAACATCTCTGAAAAACGAAACAATTTGATTGGACCTCAATTCTAATATCAGTCGAGATGAAGTTTTATTCGAAATAAAATGTCAATAGCAAACAATTTTGACAATTTCACACGTTACTTGATATCGAACAATATGATACTACCCTACAACGAAAACGTCAGAAGGGTTTCGCATGTGGTGTTAGTATGTAACGTGCATAGCTAGCCTACAATATTAAAGCACGAAACACACAGAGAGCGAGTAGGGCGCGTGTCGGGTCGGGATCGCGGCGGGTCTAATACCGAGGCGCAAGACGCGCCGGCACTCGGTGTGTTGTCGTCCATACAAATACTCGGACTCAAGCCCGCCGCGGTCCCGATCCGACCCGACCCGAACAGACCCACGCCCGACCCGCAGCCGCTCTCTGCGTTTCACGCTGTATGTAATTTACTCACCCTCCATAAGCACACGCCAAGGCTCTGGACACGTCGAAGGGATAGGCAGCGTGAGCTTGTTAACGGCGACCCCATAAGCCACCGCCAGCGCGTCGATGCCCTTGTACGGCGTCTCACCGGTTAGAAGCTCCCAGAGTAGAACGCCGTAGGACCACACGTCCGAAGCGTGAGAGAATGTTGAGTTTTTTATCACCTGTAGTATAGAATTAGGATTTTTGGAATATTTTTGGGCGGTATAGTTAAATATTAGCATCGTAAAGAGAACAAAGACTTCTACAGAGGCAAAGCTAATATCATGAGTTACGGTAACGGAATTACGGTACGGCATTTCTGCACTCGGAAGAAAGAAAGGCACAAGCAACAAATCCAAAATTCAGAGATAAATGATAATGATGGATTTAAAACTTTAGGTTTTTCCGATAAAAAAAATTAAATATACATGACATATTTTATACAATAACTTTAATTGTATTTTGATTAGCCATTTAAAAAAAATCCTTTTTTTTCTTTTAACTGTGACATATAATACAACTAAAGGCCGTAACTATTATAATCAGTGGTGTCGTTTTTGTGTTATTTATAAAGCAGTAATTGAACTATATAATACAAGTTCCACAGTTCCATACCAATTAGTGTGTTGAACGTAATCGCACACGAAACATAATACTGTCGTGACTCAAAATTGTGGAATTGAGAAAACGCGATTTAAAAAAAAAACTAATTGAAACCGATGTACCTATTCTCGTTTACCAATGGATAATTATGTATAAATAAAAATATTACTTGCAATAAGATCTATTCAGTATTTTCTTTTAATTTTCGTATTGTGTTTTCTCAAATCCACAATTTGGAGTTACGACAGTATTGGGCGTCATGGGCGAAATGTCAAATATGACTTTTTGTTAGAAAATTTGATTACCGATGTCAATTGTGTCTTTTGAGCTGACTGGTATATGCACCAGAATTATTGAGATAGATTTCTACAAAAAATTAAGTACTTTGATTGCTTGTTTTCTTGATCTCGAATGCGAAAAACTCAATTTGGATAAAAATGTTTGTTGTGCCTTTTTTCGTAACGAGGGGCAGTATTATCCTCTAATTGTGTAACCTGAAACCCAGAGTTAAGTTCCGAATGAAATATCAAATTGTTCATTCTGAACCACTGACCTTGAAACATCCAATATTGGCTTCGGAAACATATGTTACGATTTAATATTTTAGTCTTAACTTCAGACTGCAAGGTTCGAGAATTTACTTTCGACGATTTACTACGAAAGAATCCGATTTCCAGCGATACATTCTAAAGATATTTGTGGCCGTGGATTAGACTATAGCTTAACTGAAAATCGCCAACAAACCCTACTGCTAAGTGACGTGATGGTGATTTCCTGGAGATGTCTTTGAATGATTTATTTATTTGCCTAATGTATGAGCATTGTATTCTAATGTTATGTAGCGTAAATTCTCTTGACCTCGGGAGGCATCCACGCGTAAGTGCCCGCGGCTGACATCCTTGTAGTCTTGTAGACTTCGCGAGCGAGGCCGAAGTCTGTGATCTTTAGCGTCTTGTTTTCCAGCGTATCATCCGGCAGGATCGTCTCGTTTATAAGAACTGGAACAAAAGAAACGTTGCATGTTAGTACTGTATTGTATCACGGTTATTCTTATTGTTAAAGAGAAAATACGGACATGGTCCACTATCCAGGTCATAAAGTAGTAGATGGAGCCAGAAAAGCAGCATGTAGTGCAGAGACTCCATTAGCATTAAATCTTTCTACTATATTTCCAAAACCGTACCTTAATTAAACTTTTTGAAATGAAATTTGAATGTTTTTTTTTCAGTACTGAATTCGATCTTTGCGCGGGTTGAACGGCAGGGACACTTGCATTATTTGAGAATTTTTTTTTTTACAAACGAAACTAAAACATTGTATATTGTATTGATTGAGCTATGTTGTGTGTGTCCATGGCACCCGGGTTTCTCAAGCGCAGGGCTAAGAGAGTGTGCGTTATTATTTGGATTGTAAAATAATCTCAGTACAGACTACTAAAAAAACCGACGCTCAAAAAATACGTGAAATTACATCTATTTGCCAAGTTTTGCTGAAATCGGTTATCGGAAAGTGTGCGAAAACGGATTCATCCCTTAGTTTGCCACCTTTGGAGGTGGAACAGTTTCTTCAAATTTAAATGGGACCAATACGGAGGTACCCTCTTTCCAACAAAAAAAGAATCGTCAAAATCGGTTCACAAATCGAAGAGTTATCGCGTAACATACATACAAAAAAAAAGTCGAATTGAGACCCTCCTATTTTTTAAGTCAATTAATAAGGTACCTGTCATACTACCAGTTTAAAGGCCATAGTTGAACACTGTGCGCTTGCGCAATGTTCTGTCGCCAGGCGGCGTTTCAAAGGTGCGGCATGTTTGATGCGCGAATTATGGCTAGCTCTCACTAGGTGGGCGACTGCGCCCTCGACTTTACAAGACACCCGTCTGGCGAATTTGCACTTGCAATAACTGGACTGTATAAAAAATTCTAGAAATCTAGACCCGATCATGTCTAAGTAAAGAGATAGCATAATTGCCTTCCTTAACAGTGGTACAAGATTTATAGGCAGTAGAATATTTAATATGCGTAGCATTGTACTTACTTTTACAAGTACCTACGTTCTTTATTCTCATAAAACGCAATATATTTTTATGATGCTCATAAAATTAAGTCCCATTAAAAGCTCCCAGTCCCTAAGAGTTATAACAAAAAAGGGTAATTTGCCTTTTATGTAACGGTGAATAAATAATGACTAATTACTACGGACAATCAGGTAATAAATCTGTGTAATTAGTATTTATTAGACTTCTAAACCTAATTAACCTAAATATAGGAACGTATAAATCTAAACGCTTTATGACTGTATAAAAAGTACACAGCACTGCACTGGCACTGTCTCTTGTAACATCTTCTGTTATACCATGTTTTAACCAAATAAACGAATTATTATTATTATACAGAGGGCAAATATTGTTGCCTATGAATTTCCAAAATTGCATTAGAACTGTCCAAACGTTAAGTTACTTCAATTTCAATTTCTTTTTCATATATTTGGTAATTTTTTTCGCTATTTTGTGAGCAAGTTAAACTTACCGAATTTTAAAAATAAACGTTGCGTAACTTTTTAACCGACTTCAAAAGAAGAGGGAGTTTTCTCAATTCTACTGTGTGTGTTTTTTTAATGTATTTACGCGATAACTCCGGTATTTGTGAACCGATTTTGATGATTCTTTTTTTGTTGGATACAGGGTACTTCAGTAGTGGTCCCATTTAAATTTGAAGAAAATATTCCACCACTAAGGGTGGCAAACTCGGGAATGAATGACTTTTGAGGTCGTTTTTTTAACACTCTGTACTGAGATTATTATTGAATATCATGATGTCTTTACTTGGTAGTAAAGACATCATGATATAAATATGATGGTTCATATCCATCTATTTTTAACCGACTACAAAAAAGGAGAAGTTTCGCAATTCGACAGTACTTTTTTGTGTATCTGTAGGTATTTAAAATCGATAGCTATTGTAGTTTCTCAGAAAAGCAGCTATGATATAATGGTCGCACAGTCGCTGTTGTGTCTATTACGGATTATGTGTTGGAACCCTCAAAATTAATTAACCACATAATATATAACAGTGTCACCCATTGACTTACAAATAAATGGACGACGGGTCTAATACAAAAACCACGAAAAAAATGTCCCAAGTCAACCTATTTAAACGTAGTGACATGTAAAGGAATATGAAAAAGCTAAAACGTTGAATTTAAATTGTAATGTCATCGCAGTACTGTCTAATTTTGCTTGCTTCGCTGTCAGTCGAACAAACGAAGACTAAAGCGTGAATGACGGTCTGTATACGCTTTTAACGCCCTATAAGTTCGGACACTTTTTAGCGCGGACCCGACGTCCATATAATTGTAAGTCAATGGTGTCACCCATTAAAAATGAAGCTATTATTTTATAATCTAAATGGTTTCATTTCCAATATGTAACAATCGCGAAAATCTAAGAACTGTGCGGGTAACACCATGTTACGAATCTTATCAATAATCGTAAGCAGAAAAAAGCACAAGCTCTCGCCATTCACACGTCCATCAACGTACAAAGGTGCGCGCTCTGAGCTCTGACACTACATCCGTCTGTACGACGTGACACAAACACAAAAGAGTGAACAAATCAGTGAATTTTTCGATTCATTGTTATGTCGCATTCTCAAAAAGAAACGACAAGAATAAAGCTATATGCAACTCTATCGTGTCAAACCAAAACACTGCTAGCATCAGTACAATGTTTTAACCGACTTTAAAAAAGGAGAAGGTTCTTAATACGACTGTATGTTTTCTTTAATGCCGGAATTATCGCGTAACATATTACGCGATAAACAAAATAATTTGTGAATCGGTTTTGATTTTTTGTTGAAAAGAAGGTGCCTCAGTATGGGTCCCATTAAGATTTGAAGAAAATGTTCCACCTCTGAGGGAGCCAAACTAGGGGATGAATCCGGTTTCGCGCACTTTCAGGTTAACGATTTCAGTAAAAGTTGGCAAATAGATGTAATTCCACGAAGTACAGATTATCCCGGTTAGTGTTGTCAGCCGTAGAAATTGTCAAGGGAGTATTAAAATTTTTGTTTTTAATAGATACTTACTAATTATTACATTTCAAAAACGCATGTTACTTATTTATAATTAGTCAGTTGCAACGTGCCGTCAGGAACCATGTTTATATGGGATGCTATCTTCCATACATGATGCAATAAAAATTGTATCAGAAGTTGAGTTTCAGAGATAACCTGGTCGAAAACCTAATTGCATTAGAACTCCTTGTGAAAGAGTTCGTCCAGGGAAGTAAAAGTACTGCCACCTTACTTATTTCTGCCGCCAAGCAATGATGTGAGCATCACTGTCTTCCGGTTTTGAAGGATAAGAGTGCTGGTGAAATTAAGGGCATATGGGAATTGTCAACTTATGTCTCAGGGTGATGGGTGCAGTGGCTGTGCCCCGAAGTTCTTTGCGATTTAAAGCTCTGAGTGGCACTGTAACTGTTATGGATAAGTCTCTGTAAGGATCTGTATCTATTACCTATAAATATTCGCGGAAAAATCTTTGATATTGCGTATATTCTAAACATTATAAATGGTAATATTGACTGCTTTGACTTATTGGGTGATATTTCGTTTATTGTACCCACTCGTTCTATGAGACACTATCACCCTATTGCAGTTCCCTTAAGGTCCATTTAGATAGAGTTTATCGTCTCGAGATACGATTATCGAAAGAATATAATAAACTTTCCTCGTCTAAACATTCGCGATTATCGACCGTCCACGTGAGCGATAATCGCCTCGCCTTTGAATATTGAACGTCTCCGTGTAAACAGAACTCGAAAGCAAAAATCGTTCTACCACGTTTCTACCACGAGTGCAGTGCGCGAGGGTGTTTTGATTATCACTGCTTTTCTAAGACAAGAATTAATGAGAGAACGAAAAAAAAATTTGAATTAGGAAATGTTAAAAAATTTGAAAAAAAAAAGTATATTTCTATACAGTGCAATGAACTTACTATTATCAGCAGTTCCAAATTTGAATGATTTTTGCGTCATTTTGATATGTCCATAGTCAATACCGCAGTAATCATTGAACTCGAATGGCAATTCTCGCACTCAAAACGGCTCGAACCGATTTGTACGATAATCGTATGAACTTGAAAAAATATCATACGAGATCGTGTTTAGACAAGTCGAAAACTCGTAAGCAACAATCTCCTTACTATATATTACTCTGTGTAAACAGTCGAGGAGGCGATTAAGTTGCTTGCGAATCTCTTATGACATAATCGTAGGCGAGATTTTAGTTCTTGCCTGAATGTAAACATTATGATACGATAATCTTATTTCGATTATTGCTTACGATAATCGCGTACGATTTTTCGTCAAGAAGCGTGCGATAAACTCTCTCCATCTAAATGGGCCTTTAGCGAGGACTAACTAGACAAAGTAGTTTTCTATGTAGAGCTAGCAAGAGCTTGGATAGTATGCTGAGCAATCATGACCTGGAAGTTGATATATTCAATTGTGAAGTCTTACAGACATTCTATTTACCTAAGTTTATTGAATAATTTGTGATTAGCGCAGGTATTGGATTTTTATATTTATGTAAGTGCATGATGTTAAGAAATGCTGTTCATTGTTCGTTTGTTTAACGCCCGTGTGTGATTTGTTTGCAGCTGTAGGCGGAAACCTGTAAAAGGCTTTATGTTTATGTTCTTGTTTTTATTAAATGTAAGAAGCTGTTGGTTGATCCATGAATAAACAAATAGGCGTGTCGTTACCACTAGGCGCACGACTTGTTCGTTCTGTCACTGGGTTTTATTAATAATTAAGTATTGGTTCCTGAATAACGTTAACGACCACGGTGGCATACCGGTTTGCACTGCTGGATAATTCTCACACGGAATTTTGACGTTTTTCAGTGTTGTTATGTATGGAGGTTAGCAGTCCTTTTTCCACATTCGATTACAAATATGGAATACGATCAAAGATTAGTTGGTAAAACCGAAA